ACAATGTCAACGATCCAAAATTCACATGCACATAGCTGCATCTATCGGTACGTTTGCTACGCCTGACGCTCGTTTCGATCACGTTCAAATCGATATTGTAGGCCCATTACCACCGTCACACGGGTATACTCATTTACTCATGTGTATTCACAGCTTCACTAGATGGCCGGAAGCTATTCCCATCTCTACTGTCACGGCCGAAACAGTGGCTCGACATTTCGTCGAAAGATGGATAGCACTCTACGGTTGTGCCCCTACTGTCACGACCGACAGAATAGCACAATTCGAATCAGAACCAGATTGCTGGGTACGGAACGCATCCGCACAACTGCTTACCATCCAGCATCTAACGGTCTAGTCGAAAGTTTTCACCGTCTACTTAAGGGTGCCCCTTCGGGCACACGAGTACCTTAATTGGTACGAGACGTTACCTCTTGTTCTGTTAGGCATTCGAACATGAGTAAAGGTAGATATCCAGCTGTTGAGCTGGTTTTCGGCACTACATTACGACTGCCTGGAGAATTTCTCACTCCACGCAACATGGATTCCATTGGAATACAGGACTACGTGGAATGTTTGTCTACGTTTATCCAATCCTTGTCTCCGGCACAAACTCGAATACAGCAACGGAAGGTTTTCATACCCACTGAACTCCTAACTTGTTCGCACGTCTTTATTCGAGCTGATGCGATACGTAAACCGTTACAACAGCCTTACGAAGGAACTTTTCGAGTTACTTCGCGTCACGAAAAGGTCTTCAAGGTTGGTCGACATGGTCGCGTCGATACCATTAACATCGAACGGCTCAAGGCAGCATATGTCGACGATGACATAGTGTACGCCAGTTTGAGACTCGATGTTATTCCTTACGGCTGATGAGTGAGGCACCTACCTCAGAGTCGAGCTAGCAGATCGCAGTACCTGCTACAATTTCGAAGGAGACAACTGTCTCACGTTCAAATCAGTAGTGTACGAACACCTTATCAGACCAGGACGAGACACCAGTCTCACGTTCAGNTTTTGCCTGCTCGTCTGCGGGATTGAGCAAAACATGATCCACACAAGCGTATAAAGACTTATATCACGAGATGCCTTATCTCGATATTTTTTGTATGCTCAATGATTGTTTATGATTGATGCAGCAATTTTGAACCTGAGGATGCTACACCGGTTTTCTCCGACAAT